GAAAAATAGGAATGTGCAACATCGATTTTACAGTGTTCTATCTAAAGATCTCCCCAGGCCCTAACGTCAGGATACAATTTGGACTTGAGTCCAAAGTTTTGCTACTTGATGATCCCGGAATCTGTTCTGCTATGTGAACTATATATTCTACTTTCACATTTTTATTTCACATGTGATAAGATCCGGTGGAAAATATATCTGTAATTAATACTGACTTGCTGAATTAATCAGAAAGATGGGCAGATATGTTATGTAATTGTCACATCCAAATTTTGTAATTATGTCATTACATCACTTCTTCTGCATGTTAGACAATGTCCCTGTCAGCTTATTTGATTGAGCACCCTTCCTTTGTCCATTACAATATTTATCTTAAACTATTTTTTCAGACATTATTTGCATTGATTACGTATCAATGCATGTTTTCATTTTTCCTCCATATGTCGGTATACGACCTCCTAAAATTTTACCCTCACAATGTTAGACTTGTTACATAAAGGGGTCAGCATTTGTGATTNCCCCCCCCCCCCCCCCCCCAACTTTTATGTCTTGCAAAAACATTTGCAAAGGTCGTTAAACGAGTCATAAACCTGTTTCAATTTTATTTGGCAAGTTAATATGAAAGATTCTGATGCTTAATTTATAAAATTGTGGGAAACAAGAACTCCTTTCGTGCTCTCTATGTCATATTTTTTTCCCAATGTTAATGGTTTATGTCATGGCGCAGCGTCCGTCGTCCGTCCGTCATCCGTCTTCCGTCCGTCCTTCAACTTTTCCTTTAAAACGCTCCTTGTCCTGAACGGCCCAGTAGAGGGACTCAATTTTGTATAAATGTTGGGTGTGGACCCCCTGGGGGCAGAGTTGCGTGGCCCAATAGGGAAATAGAGGTAAAAACCTCTAAAAACCTTCTTCTACAGCAGGGATTAAGGGATTTTATCCTAATTTGGTCTGCAGGATCCTTGGGCCGAGGGTACTCGTTTTTGTATTAATAGTAGGCGTGGCCCTCCTAGGGGCAGAGCCAAATAGGGGAAATAGAGGTAAAAACCTTTGAAATCCTCCTTTTACAATGGGGATTGAGAGATTTCATCCCAACTTTATTTGGAGCACCCTTGGGCCAAGGGGACACAGTTTTGTATAAACGGTAGATTGGACCCGCTGTGGGCAAAGTTGCAGGGCCCAATCGGGGAAATAGAGGTAAAAAACGTTTTCTTCTACCATAGGAATTAACGGATTTTATCCCAATTTAACCTGGAGCATCCTTGGGAAAAGGGGACTAAATTTTGTCTAAACGGTGGGTTTGGACCCTCTGGGGGCTGAAACAATATAGTTGCTGGGCCCAATAGGGAAAATAGAGGTTTAAATCTTTAAAATCTTACTTTTCTGTACCATTGGAGTGATATATTTTCCCATGGCTGCTTTACTATCCAGGTGAGCGATACAGGCCCTCTGTGACTTTTGTTAATATATCAAGTTTAAGATTAATACCAGGTGAGTAATGCAGGCCTATTGGACCTCTTGTTTATCTCGAATGCTCAAAAATATACATCCTTTGCTATTCACTTTCCAATACGTTTTCGTTACATTAGATGGAACTCCAGGCAGAAGCTGACGAAAATATGGACAATTTACGGAAAGACCCGAACTTTCCTCTACCAAAAATAGAGAGCGTCATGAAAGAAGTACTTCGGCTATACCCTATAGCACCATTCATCAGCAGACAAAACAACGGCCCCATCACTATAGGAAATGTCAACCTTCAGGAACATGTGAGTATCCTAGCAACTACAGGCACGTTTCCATAGCAACTACAGCCGTGTTACCTAAGGAACTATAATCATGTTACAGTGTACCTAAGCAACTACAGCGTTGTTTCCATAGCAACCACAGTCGTGTTACCAAAACAACTGCAGTCTGCTTTTGCATACTTGCCAATGATATTGTCTTTCTGTCAATTTCAGAGTGACATTGTAGTGTTTACCTGGGGGATACATAGATCGCCACAGGCATGGAGCCATTCAACGGAATTCATACCCTTCCGCTTTTATGAAAATGAGTCTAAAAAGTCTACTTCTAACTTATACATTCCATTCGGTGCTGGGTCGCGGGTGTGTATTGGTCAACACATAGCGTGGCTGGAGATCCGATTGGCCATTGCAATCTTACTGAATAACTTTGACTTTAGCCACGTGGAGGAGACACCGGACCTTCGGTTCGTGGTGGACTGGACACACGCTGTGGTCCATCCGGATAAAGACATGGTGTTCCGAGCTGTTCCCAGGACAACAGCTGGTATCACAATATGACTTAGTCAGGACGTGACATATAATTTCAGTCCCATTTTGACATTACAAAGTGACGAGACAAAGTGCTATGATAATAATAATTATAATTTCTTGTCCTATTTCAAAATGTAAATTTGGAGAAAAAATAATGTTTTTTTTTATTTAAATATCACAAGATAAAGTATATTTATTAAACAAGAGGCCCAGAGGGCCTGTATTGCTCACCTGGATATTTAAGCAGTCATAGCAAAATATTCTCATTAAATATTATACTTTACTACAAATATTTCCAAATATTGGGTCTGTCTCTCAGCAACACCCTCACCTTATTGGGTCCCATCCCTGTGTCCCCATAGGGGTTGGGGCATGGTTTATACAACATTGAATCATATTGGGGCCAAGGATACTCCATATCAAATTAGATTAAGATAAAGCTATAGGATAAAAATCCTAACCAATGACTCTTGGTTTTCAAAACAACCTGTTACAAGATATTAACACATTTTTCCACAGTAATCTTGAAAGTCTAACCAAAGTCATTCAGTTGAAAAAACTTGGAAGTCCTTAATCCCAAATATCATCACCCCTTGGGTCTATGTTATTGAGAAGAGTCATTTAAATATGATAACACATTTGATCCCTTTGACATTGAAAGTACATTGTAGGTAAAGGTCATTTTTACGACAACCCCACGTCCACATACCAAATCTATAACATTGGTCAATATCTAAATGTCGACCAATCAGGACTTTATTGTGCTTCCTCACTGAAACATACTGCCGAAGACACCCAGCAGGACACCCACCAGGTCACATTATACTGACAACGGGCGAACCAGTCGTCCCACTCCTAAATTGCTGAGCGTTAAGCAGGAGTAGAAACTACCATTTTTACAGACTCTGGTATGTCTCGGCCAGGGGATAGAACCCAAAGCCTTCTTCACAGGGGCAAACGCTCAACTAAAGGCCAAAAGTAAGGCACTGCCAAGAACAAATCGGTCGAGAGACTTGCGTCATACTGTTATTTTGAAAAACACCTGCTTAGGTTCTATTCATGTATCTTTCTTGGAAGCTGTTTTATTTATAGAATCAATGTAAAACCACATATACAGTTGTGTGATTGGCTCTTTTATATGACTATCATTACTGTAACTTCTGTGAATATCTAGTGTCCAAAGTCCTTCTATCAGATAATTGTTGATGTATATCTTGTTTTGTCGTCAATTTACCGGTTGCTAAGGACACAAATCACGTCTGAAAATATGCATATCGTCTTTGCAAGTTTCTTTAGTAAAGTCACTCGAGCTTAACGTACCTGCAAAACATGTTGCATTGAAAATAGACAAATGTCTTTTAAACACGTCTTTATCTTTTTATATTTCGTGTAAAAGATTGTTGAACCCGTAATAAAAGTCGTACGCATGAATATTGTAGTAGGTTTTCTTGTCCCATGGTATCTGAATGTTCTAGCAACTTTTTGTGTGTTATTTAAATTAGCAGGCTGGATAAAAAATAAAAAATAAATTGTTACAAGGAAGTAGCATTTAAAATTTCTGCAGATAGAAGGTCGAATTTTCTTTACACAATGAGAGAAAACAATGTATTGAAATAATTATCAGTTCTATAAAGCGAGGTACTGAAATTACAGCTATTTCTTAGTGGATATCTTAAATTTATATTAAAGTAACGGAATGGTTCAATGATGTCTTCTTATTATCTAAAATTGTGAGCATAAGTAATAGTGTATGATTTTTTCGCCAAAACAAAGTGCTTCAAGTCCATGGCCAGTTTCTGCATAAAGCTTAACTTGTGAAGTCTCTCTGCGCAATTTTGTGATAATTCTTGATGCCTTTAGCTGGATTGATTCTAGAATATTTTCATTTTGGTTACTACTGTTGTTCCATACTACATCCCCATATTCAAGTATTGGTTTATATATTGATGTTGGACTTTTTCTATTCAATTTGTGTTTTAAGAATCTCAATATATTCATTCTTCTATAGGTTAGGTAATACTATTGTTAATATGATTGTCCATATATCATCACTACTAAAAGTTAACCCAAGATGCTTATGAGTTTGTTTATTAGTTAAAGTTTCATTACAAAATAAAATATCTGGATGATTTAGTTGGTTCCCTTTTCCTTGAGACAATTACAGATTCAGTTTTCAGCGAATTAAATTTGATAACGCAATTTATTTGCCCATGCATTAATAGAACCTAGATCATGGTTAATTTCACTGGAATTTTATTTTGATTGAAGTCTATTACTGCATAAGTATACATCAGCAATAAGTTTTATTTTACGTGTTACACATTATGTCATATCATTAATATAGATTAAAAAATAAAAATAAACGTACCCAGGACCGAGTCTTGGAGTAAACTGGTTTTGACATATTTAAAAGTTAATAAAAAAAACTGTTGATAACCTCTGTTTTCTATCAGAAAGATAATTACTAAACCATTGCAATATGTTCCCTTTTCTGCCATATAAATCAAAAATAATTTAAACGCCTTGCTAACATCACAAAATACGAATCTGATTTCATTATTTTGATCTTTGTTATTTACAATAGCGTCAAATATAGATAATAACTGGTTTACAGTTGAGTCTCTTGGTAGGAAGACTGATTAGTGTGTCGTTATGATATCACATTCTTTCATACAATGAAACATATATTTAAAAATAACTTTTCAACAATGTTGCTCAAAGATAATGTTATAGATATTGGCCTATAGTTAGAGACATCATTTTGAGCACCCTTACCTTTGTGTATTGCGTTTAATATTAGCTGTTTTTCAAGAAGAGGTATAATAGCAGATTCAAAAGTCTTAAAAGTTTTAAAGTTTTCCATTAGGAAAACACTGCAATTGGAAATAAACCCACATTTATACGTGAACAACTAGTTCATGTCTAATGTCAATCCAACTGTCACTGTCTCGATTAAATGTGAATAATATGATAGTTTGAAATATTTGTGCTATTGAATTATTGCTTAAAATGTCGGCTGAAATCGGGATACGAAAATGAAAATGGGCCTTTCCCACTTCAGGATGTTTTTGTTTTATTTCACTTAAACTCAGTAACATGCAAGTCTATTTGTGTGGAATTAGGAAATATTTTCCTCTCTAATGGGTATTGAAATATATTAAAAGTGTACCGTTCTGAGGCACTATTTGTCTACTCAGTTCAATAACGATTAAAATTAGCCTTTATAACATCATTACAATTAATTAAACAGAATAAAAATAATAAAACTTCAAAATTTAGAAATTTCTTAAAAAAAGACGAACATTGTATATTATTCAAATACATTTTTACTTTATTAACATCGTCAGTTTTCGGTCAAGGTTACTAGCCTAAGGTAACAACGCATGTAAAATACTGACTGAAATCAAGTGCATGAACGTTGGAACAAAACAAGTTATAACTTGCCAAGTACAAATCGGTCGAGAGACTTGCGTCATACTGTTGTTTTGAAAAACACCTGCTTAGGTTATATTCATGTATCTTTCTTGGAAGCTGTTTTATTTGTAGAATCAATGTAAAACCATATATACAGGTGTGTGATTGGCTCTTTTATATGACTATCATTAGGGCCCCGTATCGGATATACGGGTGCCCTATAGTAATCACTCTGTCTGTCTGTCTGTCCGTCCACAAATTTTGTTCCTAGCTGATAACTTTGGTATTTATTGACCGATGTACATGAAACTTGGTCAAGATGTTCAGTTAACAAAAATACACATTGAGGTTAAAAGTCAAGTCAAAGGTCAAGGTCATTAGGTTCAAAGGTCAAGGTCAAATTTTGCATATTTTCACTGATGAACATTTTGTTATGACGTTATGAAGCAAAGTTGATCAGAATTAAACAAGGAGTCAACCTGACCGAATGTTAAGGTCATTGGGTCAAAGGTCAAGGTTAAATTTTGTAACTTTTCACTGGTGAACATTTTGTTATGACATGATGGAGCAAAGATGATCAGAATTAAACAAGGAGTCAACTTGACCGAATGTCAAGGTCATTGGGTCAAAGGTCAAGATTAAATTTTGTATCTTTTCACTGATGACCATTTTGGTATGACACTTTGGAACAATGTTGCTCAGAATTAAACAAGGAGTCTATTGACCAAAGGTAAAGATCACTGGGTCAAAGGTCACGGTCAAATTTTGTATAATTTCCTTGTTGAACATTATGTTATGACTTTATGAAGCAAAGTTGGTCGGAATTTAACAAAGTGTCAACTGACTGAAGGTGAAGGTCACTCGGTCAAAGGTCAAGGTAAAATTTGATTTTTTTTTGCAGGTGATTATTTCATTATGACACTTTGAAGCAATGTTTGTGGGAATTAAACAAGGAGTCATTTGACCAAAGGGCAAGATCACTGGGTCAAAGGTCACGGTAAAATTTTGTATCATTTCCTTGTTGAACATTTTGTTATGACTTTATAAGCAAAGTTGGTCGGAATTTAACAAAGTGTCAACTGACTGAAGGTCAAGGTCAGTTATTGTATCTTTTTATTGATGAACTTTTTTATGTTATTATGTAGCAAACTTGTTCAGAACTGACCTTAGCTCCAGGTTACGGGGTTCAAAGGGTCAAGGTCAGGTTTTGTATTTTTCACTGATGAACATTTTGTTATGATATTATGAAGTTGGTTGGAATTAAAGAATAAGTCAACTGACCAAAGATCAGGGTCACAGGGTCAATGGTCAAGGTCATTTGGGTCCAAAGGTCAAAGACAAAGTGGATCTCTGTCTTTGACCCTGGCTCTTGATTGAGTAGGTATAAAAGGTGAAATAAAGCAAATCAAAGCTAACAAATGAGTATTGCACCGGTATTTACATTTCTGTTAGCCCAGCAAATATGAAGGTGGAAGGAAACAAGAGTCGCATCATAGTACATGTAAAATGTATATTTTGCTTCCTTGTGATTCTTTTTGAAGTCCAAATGTCAAATGTCAAGCTCAGCTATATGGGCAGACTGCTTCTTGATGATTATGGTGGATATATTGCCACAAGACGGGGCCCTTACTGACCTGTCAGTGTTCTAGTTACTGTAAATTTGTGTAAATATCTAGTGTCCAAAGTCCTTCTATCAGTTAATTGTTGATGTATATCTTGTTTTGTCAATTTACCGGTTGCTAAGGATGCAAATCACGTCTGAAAAAAATGCATATCGTCTTTGCAAATTTCTTAAGTAAAGTCACTCGAGCTTAACGTAACTGCAAAACATGTTGCATTGAAAATAGACAAATGTCTTTTAAACACGTCTTTATCTTTTTATATTTTGTGTAAAAGATTGTTAAACCCATATTTAAAGTCGTACGCATGGATATTGTAGTAGGTTTTCATGTCCCATAGTATCTGAATATTATAGCAATTTCTTTTGTGGTATTTCAATTAGCAGGCTATATTTTATTTTAATTTTTACAAGGAAGTAGCATTTAAAATTTCTGCAGATAGAAGGTCGAATTCTCTTTACACAATGAGAGAAAAAAATGTATTGAAATAATTATCAGTTCTATAAAGTGGGGTACTGAAATTACAGCTATTTCTTAGTGGATATCTTAAATTTATATTAAAGTAACGGAATGGTTCAATGATGTCTTCTTATTATCTAAAATTGTGAGCATAAGTAATAGTGTATGATTTTTTCGCCAAAACAAAGTGCTTCAAGTCCATGGCCAGTTTCTGCATAAAGCTTAACTTGTGAAGTCTCTCTTCGCAATTTTGTGATAATTCTTGATGCCTTTAGCTGGATTGATTCTAGAATATTTTCATTTTAGTTACTACTGTTGTTCCACACTACATCCCCATTTTCAAGTATTGGTTTATATATTGATGTTGGACTTTTTCTATTCAATTTGTGTTTTAAGATTCTCAAAATATTCATTCTTCTATAGGTTAGGTAATACTATTGTTAATATGATTGTCCATATATCATCACTACTAAAAGTTAAACCAAGATGCTTATGAGTTTGTTTATCAGTTACAGTTTCATTACAAAATAAAATATCTGGATGATTTAGTTGGTTCCCTTTTCCTTGAGACAATTACAGATTCAGTTTTCAGCGAATTAAACTTGATAACCCAATGTATTTGCCCATGCATTTATAGAACCTAGGTCATGGTTAATTTCACTAGAATTTCATTTTGATTGATGTTTATTACTGCATACAGAGAAGTAGACATCAGCAAAAAGTTTTCTTTTACGTGTTACACATTCTGTCATATCATTAATATAGATTACAAAATAAAAAATAAACGGACCGAGACCGAGTCTTGAAGTAAACCGGTTTGACATGTTTAAACGTTAATAAAAGCCCTCTGTTGATACTCTCTGTTTTCTATCAGAAAGATAATTACTAAACCATTGCAATATGTTCCCTTTTCTACCATATAAATAAAAAAACAAAACGCCTTGCTAACATCACAATATACGAATATGATTCATTATTTTGATCTTTGTTATTTACAATAGCGTCAAATATAGATAATAACTGGTTTACAGTTGAGTCTCTTGGTAGGAAGACTGATTAGTGTGTCGTTATGATATCACATTCTTTCATACAATGAAACATATATTTAAAAATAACTTTTCAACAATGTTGCTTAAAGATAATGTTATAGATATTGGCCTATAGTTAGAGACATCATTTTGAGCACCCTTACCTTTGTGTATTGCGTTTAATATTAGCTGTTTTTCAAGAAGAGGTATAATAGCAGATTCAAAAGTCTTAAAAGTTTTAAAGTTTTCCATTGGGAAACACTGCAATTGGAAATAAACCCACATTTATACGTGAACAACTAGTTCATGTCTAGTGTCAATCAAAGTCACTGTCTCGATTAAATGTGAATAATATGATAGTTTGAAATATTTGTGTTATTGAACTATTGCTTTAAATATCGGCTGAAATCGGGATACGAAAATGAAAATGGGCCTTCCCATCTTCAGGATTGTTTTTGTTCATTTCACTTTAACTCAGTAACATGCAAGTCTATTTGTGTGGAATAAGGAAATATTTTCCTCTCTAATGGGTTTTGAAATATATTAAAAAGTGTACCGTTCTGAGGCACTATTTGCCTACTCAGGTAAACAACGATTAAAATTAGCTTTTATAACATCATTACAAATAATTAAACAGAATAAATATAATAAAACTTCAGAATTTAGAAATTTCTTAAAAAAAGTCGAACATTGTTTATTATACAAATACATTTTTATTTTATTACAGTTATGGGGTCGCACAACGTTGTGCGGTGTGCGCAGGATGTGTGCACGGTGTGTGAACGATGTGCGATAACAATCGTGGTTGGTGTTAATTGAGGAATGCCTTAACAACAAATGCGGTTTCGTGTGTAAACAAATAAACTTGATTTTTACGTATGTTTCTATATTCTACCTACATCTATAAGCTTATCTTTATGTCTATACTTTCTTATAATTAGAAATTGTGTTTTCGGTATTTTCTAAACGACCTTAATCGACACATATGAAATTACAACACAGTCCCGTATACAGGTAAACATAGCCACTTTGTACATGTACCTGGACCGTAGTTTTCCCCCGCCCGGGGCGCTTACGTATTTCGTCGGGAAGGACTAAAGGTGTGAAAACCCAGGTGAAGGAGAGCTATAGGCAAACCGAATGCAAATAACAAATACTAAACGTACGGTATCGCATATCAGCTCGATGTGTCTGGCACAGGCCAGGTAGAACTCCAGGCACTCATCAAATTGTTATTTACCTGTTCTGTTACCTTGGAGCCAAACCCATTCAACGGTCACTGTAATGCTGTGTTAAACTGTACATAATCCTCATGACTGTGATGAGAAATTACAGTAATATATACAGTTTTTATTATTGCATACGAGCTTTCCGTATTTTTTTCATTCCGTAATATTGATCTACAAATTGTACCCAATCGCACAGTTGTGCGGAGAGAAGCGCACAACGGGGCGAACAATTGTTAAATCGCGCAATTGTGCGCTCCATGTGTGGACGATGTGCGGACGATGTGTGAACGCTGTATGCACGGTGTGCGCACGCTAGTTTTGGGTGCGTGTGCGGTCACACAACTGTAACATAGTCAGTTTTCGGTCAAGGTTACTAGCCTTAGGTAACAACGCATGTAAAATACTGACTGAAATCAAGTGCTTGAACGTTGGAACAAAACATGTTATAACTTGTCAAGTACAAATCGGTCGAGAGACTTGCGTAACACTGTTGTTTTGAAAAAAAACTGTTTACGTTCTACGCATGTATCTTTCTTGGAAGCTGTTTTATTTATAGAATCAATGTAAAACTACATCTTACATTTGTGTGATTGGCTCTTTTATATAACTAGCATTACTGTAAATTTCCATATGTATGCATGCAGTATCTATGTCTGACTTATCTTCACTTAGTCCATGGCATTCGGAATGTAAAATGGGTTCCTCGGAGAAGGTATGGGTAGTTTCTCCGTGTTAAACCTTGAAAGACGTCACCACTTAATCTATAAGTAAGTACCTTTATTACCAATATCGAATTGATTGTCCGTATTTAGTGTCCAAGTCCTTCTATGCGTTTATTGTTGTTGTATATCTTGTTTGTCTAGTTCCAGGTTGTTAAGGAAATATATCATGTCAGAAAAATATACATATCGTCTTTGCAAGTTTCTTAAATAACGTCACTCAAGCTTAACGTACCTGCAAGCCATATTGCACTGAAAAAAGACAAATGTCGGCTTAAGAAGGCTCCACAATTTCGAAAATAACCAGCGCAAAATTCGTTGAAACTTTCATTTAATTTTTATGCAACTATGTAGAGTTGATTTTATAAAAATCTAAGCATTCCGATAGTTTGGGGACTTTTTTGAAAACAGAAAAGCAAAAGAAATGATTTTTTTGTCAATTTTAATATTTTCCATTTTTGTGTGTGTGTGGCATATGTTCGAAACAATAACAGTAATAGCATTGCTAATTAACTAATATTTCATTTATCGCAAAATATATAAAACACGTTACACAAAGTGTTTTTTTATTGAAATTGTACGGATAATGGTGATTATCTACAAGCTATAAGCCATCAGGACACAAAGATTCATGCATAAAGAGTGGGAAATTGAGCAAAATATTTTTGTAGTTTAGAAGAAAAAAAATTACAGAAAAAATAATACCAAGGATAGAAACAGGTGGGGACTATTACAAAACAGGAGGAGATTTTAGAAGAAACCGAAAGTACTACGATAGACTATATAAAAATAATGATAAACCCTGTAACTACTCATGGTTTGATGATATTTCACTAAATGATGTCCCTTAATTTTCATTTGAAGAGAAAAATAATTTAGAAGGTAGGATCGATTACAATGAAGCAACACATGTATTAAAGAATATGAAAAAAGTCCCGGGTCAGATGGGTTTACTTTAGATTGTTTTTAATTTTTCTGGAAAAAATCTAAATCCTTTTATTATTCGATCAATAAACCGTGGGTATGAAACTAGATACTCAGAAACAGGGAATCATCATTTGTATACCAAAAGGAGATAAGGCCCGTCAGTTTAAAAAAAAATTGGAGACCGATTTCTCTTTTAAATGTTGTCTATAAAATAGCGTCAGAATGTATTGCAGAAAGACTTAAATCAGTTCTAGATAAACTTATACATAGTGATCAAACAGGTTTTATTCCGGGCAGATATATAGCTCACAATACTAGATTAATTTATGATGTAATGGAGTATACAGAGGAACAAGACATACCAGGCATGTTACTTTTAATTGACTTCGAAAAGGCTTTTGATTCTGTATCATGGTCATTTATAAATCAAGTTTTAGAATTTTTTATTTTGGTGAGTCAATTAAGCAGTGGATATAAACTTTTACAAATAATATTTCTTCTTTAGTGAACCAAGGTGGAAACTTATCTAAACCCATAAAACTAGGAAGAGGTTGTCGACATGGAGACCCGTTATCACCATATGTTTTCTTTCTCTGTGCAGAAATATTAGCAATAAAATTAAGAATGAAAAAACATATAAAAGGCATCAAAATCAACACTACAGAACATCTGATATCACAATTTTCTGATGACGCTTCTCTTATTCTAAATGGCACTGCAATATCACTAAGACATGCTATAAAAGAGCTTAATAATTTCTGGGAAATATCGGGACTTAAATTAAATTACACAAAAACACAAGTAATATGGATAGGGAGTAAAAAGTATAGTACCGAAAAATTAGTCAATAATCTTGCTCTATCATGGGGTTCAACATCTTTTAATCTGTTAGGAATTCACTTTGATGTGGACCTTACTAAAATAGTTCAATTCAATTTCAAAGAAAAACTTACGAAATTAAAGTCATTAATTAAAAAGTGGAATAGACGGTATATAACTCCGATAGGCAGGATTACTGTAATAAAATATCTATTTTTACCAATACTAACACATTTATTCATAAGATTACCTTCTCCTAACCAAAATATTATGATAGAATTCAAAACTTGTTTTATGAATACCTTTGGGGAAGTCCAATAGCTAAAGTAAAAGGAGATATCATTGTCAAACAGTATGAAGAAGGTGGTTTGAAAATGATTAATATCAAACATTTTGAAATGGCTCTTAAATCAACATGGATAAGAAATATTTGTCTTAAGATTTCAAATTGGCAGACCCTACTGTTTAACAAAAATTAATAAGAATAAACTGTTTACTTTAGGAAATAAATGTATTGATTATATTATCAAAAATATACTTCATAACAAATTTTGGATTAATGTTCTTCATGCATGGAATACATTAAGGGGGAAATTGATATATCTAAGCCAGATCAAGTATTATCTTTACCCATTTGGTATAATGACTTAATCAAAAAAGGCAATAATACTGTTTATTATAAGCGATCCTTTGATAAAGGTGTGTTTTTCATAAATGATCTAATTAAGGAAGATGACAGTTTCCTTCAACATAATGAGTTTGATGATATTTTTAATTTAAATACTAACTTTATTGATTATAATGGTCTCATTTTTGCAATAAGAAAATTTAGGCTGGACTTTTGAAAAAAAAGTTTAAACTACCATTGATACCACTGTATATTAATATAATTATCAAACATAAAAAAAGGTACAAAGGATATGTACAATGTGCTGAACAAAAAAAGTGTAGTGCCTACAGGTCAAATAAAGTGGAATAATGTATTTGGAAATATACCAAGTGTGCCTTCTTGAAACATAATGGAACCTTTGACTCAACCAATGATTTATTCATGATTGCGGTAATCAAAGGAAGCAGTGCTTCAAGACATTGCTTTAATAGGTCTGTAGTTATATAATAAAAATCTATAGAAAAAGAAACTATTCAGCATATACTATGGGAATGTAATACAGTCCAAAATTTTATCCTTGCTTTCCAAATTTGGATCCAAACTACTTGTAACGTGACTTTTAATATATGTAAAAAAAGATTTTATTTTTGGGAAAATAAAACAAAATCAAAATCTGAATAATAGGGCAGCAATTGTCATAATTCTAAATATGAAACACTATATATATTGTCAAAAGTGTTTCTGCAAAGAGCTTTACCTACCTACTCTAATCAGTAAACTGAAAACAGCATACACTATCGAAAGATACATAGCAAAATAAATAAGACAGGGAAGCTTCTATTATCAAAGATTTCAGCGCCTTTCATATAGTTTTTAGATAATTAGATATATATATATATAAAAATAAGATTAACGACCGACTAAAAAACTAGCTGCTTTCACCCTTCACAGGGCTAAATTGTCCACCAATCTTGTGTACTTCGTGACGTCACGTTACTAATGTAGTGTGATGACATGTAATTGTGACGTCACGACGTTGTTCTTTTGAATAAACCTGAAGAGCTCTGTGAAGGGTGAAAGCAGCTAGTTTTTTAGTCGGTCGTTAATCTTATTTTTTCTATATTTACTTCCTTCACATGGACATTTAATCCCTTTTTATTATATATATATATATATATATATATATATACATATATGGGTCAAAGAAGTAATATAGACGGTAAAATCCCATATAACACTGGATCCTAATGGAGGTATGTCCGTAGGATACGAATTAATTAAAATAGTATTTGGGGCAAAGAAGTAATTACCTAAACTTGTCCACACTGTTGGAATTACTTCTTTGCCCCATATATAGATACATACATATACCAAGCAACTATATTGTCATTAGGGATAAAAAATAAGTAAATCTACTTTTTTTCTCTCCTCTTTTTGCAAGTTTTGTTTCTCTTCTTTTTACTGATGTATTTTTTTTTTCATTTGCTGATATATTTACAATCATCACCCTTTCATGAATAATTATTGCTTTCGTCGGGAATCTCTCTTCCTCTCTTCTTGCTCTTATGTCTCTCTTATCCCTGTCCCTCTTTTTCTGGATAAATGTCTGCTTTTTAACAAAACTATCCCCCAATCCCCGTTTCAATTAATTCCAGTCATTTTCTTGTATATTTATTTTTCTAGGCGTATGTTATGCAAGTTATATTTGTGAACCAAATTTTAACTTAATGATAAACTGGTTATTTACAACAACAAAAAACAAAAAACAAACTTTATATGTGTGAAGGTGAGCTACATATATTTTAATTTCAATCCCTTCTTGCAGAACAGAGTTGCACAGAATATTAATCATGATAAAACTTGAATATGTACGCTTAATTAAGGGAGTATTTATGTAAAGGACCGTAGCTGATCCTCAGACGGTTCCTCATGTATATGATTTGCATGTCTGGAATTAATGAAAAACAAATATGGAAAAAAACCCAAAAGAAATCGATTATATTATAGGTGTATTGACAGACGAGGCTTGTACCTGCGCTGTATCAATGAGTTATCAGTATAACTTTTATAAGCAGTTCTTGACAACACATGTGTGTTATAACCAAGCAACATTAGCCTCCAGAGCCCCAGACCCCACACCCTAGTGTGTTTTACCTGGACAGATATTCAAGATTTTCAGAAGAAATAGATATTGAGCTGAAGTAGTTATTTATACATTCTGCTTTTTTAAATGTATGATGTATTAAGTTATTACTTTTAGAACGAGAAAGACGACAATTTGATACATTATTTGAAATCATCACAGATCTAGCAAACTTTCCACCATTCAAGGTTTATCATTAGGGCGAACAGTTATAGTTTTGGATGGTACAGAATCTGTTAAAACATTATTAAATTCCTTTGAGTCAAGATTATTTATAACTATTTCCAAATTCATTTCATTTAGAGCTCTATTCATTTGATCAAAATCTGCATTTCCTTACATTAATAGGGTTTTCTTACAAGCTTTTTGCTTACGTACAGAACTTGAACAGGTAAAATAAATAACAAGAGTGATCACTGCATGCTGGTGTATTCATTGTATAATGTCTTATGTTTAATATTGTTAGTATATAAAATATCGCTGGCAGTGGCAGTAGTTTGTATTATCCTGGTAGGTTTACTGATTAGATTTGTGAAGTAATATTTTGAC